CAACACAATTGAGTTTTCCACTATCGAGCTGAGCTGTAATCTTTCTATTATACGATGAACACCGAAGTAATATATATTATTAGTAATCAGAAAATATACTCCCAATTTTCCTATGCTACCACCAAACGCCGTTGACCATGTGCATATTTTTCCCCACACTGCTTGCTATACATAATACAGATATCATAAATACTCATTGCAAAAAGCGCGCGCCCGACTTCCTTACAGATGCAATGACCGAGAACACCACCAATGGTGACTCCCACAGGGTTCTTGGAAGACGCCAACGCTATAGTCGATATTTGACTTCGATCGCCCCACTCGGCGAGGAAGGTCATCGTGAAGGCCTAACGCAGCAACAAGAATAAAACAGTAGCAGTAAGGAGGAAACTTGGAGAAACTCGTGTTGGTTTCTGTACACTTCTACCAGAGATCATATGTAAACTCTCGAGCTCAGCTGAGAAAAGCTACGAGAATTCTTATACGGCTTCTGTACATTTCTACCCGAATTCGTGAATAAACTCCTATAATTAGTGAGGAAACTTAGGAGAACGAACATATATTCCTCCGCCACTTGACAATGGCCAGCTTAGTGATTCGGAAACGCATCATTTCCAATGAAAATCAATTCCAAAATCGATTTTGAATTCCACAGTTACTGAAGGTCGAGAGGATATTCCAATACGCACACCACCGGAATAATTCACCCCAACGATTTTACCTGTGTAAAAACTCTCACTGCCATCCGAGAAAACAGGGCCTCCTGCATGCTGAAACATTCCTACATACAATTCCATTCATACTCCCAAGACAACCTCCACCCTACCCGTCCACGACTCCGACCCTCCTCACAGTCACCAGACCCTCCTTCGACTGCCGGTGCACTTTCTTCATCTTCTTCCCTGAAATGCAACAACTATCACAGTAAATGTCCATATAACATAATGGACATCTAATTCATACATGAGTATGTATATAACTTTGATACTCAAGAGGTAACTCCTCAAACAGTAAAGATGACGGCATATGCTCTATC